GTTGCCATGGGAGACAGGCTGCATCCCTCCTGGTCCTCATACTGCAGCATCCGCACAGTGCTGTCGCCATGGTGACATCCTCCAGAGAGAAAGCGAGAGAGGTAAAGAGAGAGAGAAAGAGAGGTAGGGGAAGGAGGGAGAATCAGAAGCATGGAGAAAGGGAGAGAGACAGTGACTCTGAACCTGACTGTCTCCTCCCCAAACTCATTCAGCAGCACTGAAAGCACTAACTGCGTCTCTGCCTCAAGGAGTTATTGATCCCAGCAGAACAATAGGGAGAAATAGGGAGAAATTGTGAATGGATCCTCAAAGCAGGAGGTTGGGTTTGGGGAATAAGACGAGACAAAGGGATAAAGCTTACTGCCAACAAATCCCATATAAACACACAAAATCTTCCACATGGGAAACTCAAACTGCACATAAACAGCACACTAATGTAACACATTGTGGTATGTAGTATTCTCTACAGTGATATACACTCCAGGGTTTCTCATGCACACTGTACTAGGACAGGTTGCTTAGGGTTTGTTTTTTTTTTGTCAGCCACCAAAGTAAAATTTGCAATTCATTTGTATTTTTATCTGTTATGACGACTGAAGGATTGGTGGACAATACCATCATTCTTATTTTGAAATTCAGTCCCTCACGAATCAGCAACCTGTCTTGCACAAGAACGCCACTCACTTTTTCACATTCAATGTAATTCGGCTGTCTCAAGTCCCATTTTATGCCCACCATCTTGAACTGCAGCTGGAAACAGCAGCCCTTGTTCTTTTGAGATGCGCTGTGAGCTGGAGGTCCACTCAAACCAAAACCTGAAGCAGCTGGAGAGCTGCTGCCACTGCTTTGTAACTAAGCAAGGCTGCAAAGCAGAACAAGGACTGCCATCGCCTACTGCAGTCCAGCACTGTACTGGAGTCTGTCCATGAGATAAGAAAATTATATATAATATTATTGACTGATTTAAATAATAAAATGTTGGTTCTTTTCTTATTGCTACTGCCAAAAAAATCCAATCTAATTTTCTTGACAGAACATAGTAGACTGTATACAAAGATGGCCAAATCCTCTGGATCTGCAAAGTCAAGACAATATAGCAGTACCACAAGCTGCAGTTTTTCCAGTGGCTAATAGGGGGTGAGGTTTCTGGTTCCAAATAAAAGGCAGACCTTTGGTAAATGAAGCTTATGCTCACATGGTTTAAGGTTTGAGTAAAAAGAAAATGATGACAATGGGAATATTATCTCATTTTCTAACTAAAAAGACAGTTGTTTCGTACATTGCAATCCCATTTAGCATCAAATTAACAATAAAGCATAAAACATGACTGCCACTTCTGCCCCGACTTCACTTTTCAGACCCAGAAACTACATGCAGCCTTTATTTGCAGCGCATGTCACACACTCAGGATCATCACAAAAAAGAGTGCAATGTTATTGAACAGTCTTTAATTACATAGAGAAAAAAACGGTGAAACAAAATAAATAAATAAATAAATAAATATTTTCCCTTTCACTGAACTACCTGAATCACTGTGCTGAACTACCAGCAAGCAACAGCAAAACAGAGTTAATCTAGTTTAAATGCATCGACATCGCAACTCCTTAAGCCTGAATAAACACTTTTGGAGTAACAGTAAAACCAGAGTAATGAAAAAGGATGTAAGGGCAATACTACAGCAAATCCCATCTTTGTCGTCTCACCAACATGAAACCGTTAATAAACAGGTGTGCGTTTCCTATATTGACACTCTTTCCCCCCCGTTTGACTCTTTCTTCGCCCAACACTGAAATTCCCGAGCTTCCTCTGTGCCCTTCGCTGCGCCATCCGTCTGCCCTGCCAGCGATTCACCATCATGCCCTCCTCATTATCTCTTTGTTACCACGGGCTTTATCGAAATGCTGTCCTTAGCTGTGCACCCTCTGCATGCCGCCCTCCCCCACGCACACACAGACCAACCACCTACACTTAAAAAAGATATTTTATGCTTATTTTGGACATACTCCAATGAAATCCAAGTGCTTGGATTTCATAATAAATTTCTCTCTCTATATATATATAATATGTATATAATCTCTATATATACATTTATTATGAATACACACACACACATACATATATGTATATATGTATATCTATATCTATATATATATATTCTCATATTCAGATTTCAAATAGATCTTCTTTGAGGGAAAACCTCTGTGATCCATGTCTACTTCAGTGGAGATACAGCAGACTTGCTTTGATATATATTTCACCTGGTTTTTATAATTCATACGTGTTCTACCAGGATTTGTGCAGAAAAAGTTTGGTGGTTTCATGTTGTTTCACTTCTATGTTTGTGCATACATAACTTCCTCAGGTTTGTTTTTTGTCTTTTTTTTGCAAGAAAAAAAGTTTTTAATGCTTTTTTTAAATTTTAGAGCTCCTCTAATTATGTTGGTAATTCACTATTTCCAGAGGTGATAGAGATCTGAGGCACAAACCATCTGTCCTACAGCCCGAGTGATGTGACCTGAGGACTACGCAGCGCCACACTCCACCAGATTGGGGTTTTTTTTCTATCTGCAGCCTCGTGACAGAGGGACGAATTTACTGAGATGAAGGCTGTGACCTGCCGATCGAGGAGGTCTGAAACCGTGACATGAGCCCATTTAATGTTGGTAGGATTCGTTTTCTCAGCTGCTGAGTGAGACGTTTGAAGCCTGTGAGCCACCGCCAAGAAAAGTCTGCAACTTTTTTGTTATTCTTTTTCACTTTTCTCTCCATTTTATCTGTTCAAATCCTGTATTGTCATATTTCACAATATACACAATTTGTATCCATTATTTTACTTAAGTACATGAATACAGAAAGAAAGAAGGGGCAACGGCATAGAAACAGAAAGATACAAAGAAGGCAACAACCATGTCTTACAACTTCAAACATCGCCAATAAAAATCCATCCCAAAGATCTGCTGAGGTTTTCAATACCATTATGATCTCTTGCCAACATGTTTTTTTTAATATAATATCATTTCTAACGTAGCTTCTATGTTTGAGGAGGAAGTGTCTTTCCTTAGTCATAGGGTCAACGATTCCAACTGATCGAGAAAGTGGCCAAGATTGACTGGAATGTATAAATATTCCTGCTTTGCATTTTGAGCATATGTCGCTGGACATCAAGTGTAAGCAAGCCCAATCTTGTCTGATCTCAGATGGGAGACCATTGGGAAATACCAGGAGCTATAAGGTTGGGGGCAGCTAGAGCAGGTCAGCTACTAATCAGAAAATTGGTGGTTCAATCCCTGGCAAGATACTAAACCCCAATTTTCCCCCCATGTGTGTGAATCAGGCATGTTGTATCCAAGTGCTCAAGTAGAGCAGAACAGCATCATATAAAAACTAGTCTATTTACTATGAAGTTTAGAGGGAGAAAAAATAAAATGTAATACATAGTTACAATGTATCTACGTTCCTTTTGCCAAATAATCGTCGGATTATTAAACGCATCATTTTTAAATTGGTTGAATATTTTATAAAACACAGCTGCCTAATGCACCATCTCAGGAGAATCCAAAAAATTCCCTCACTGGGTTCTTGTCCATGATAAATTGGCCTTTGGTAATACAGTCTGTCAGTGGTAGATATGTCCAAAAATTCTCTGTCTTCGCCAAGCCATATTTCTGAAACATGTCAGTGAAAGACAGGATCACTCCATCCAAATGAAGGTCTGTTAATTTGAGCTATTGTTTCCAATGCAATCAATTTTACCCTGATCGTTACGGCAGGATTGTGCCATAGCGGCGCACAAGACTGCAATGCCACAGCCCACACATCTGTATGTGTACATTTACCCAAATAGCTCCAGAATGAGCCAGTACTGTCCATTAGTAACTGGGTCATGTGATAGACCATGCAGAAATCTTCAATTGTGATCTAGCTTAAGATTTCCAGTGGCATTTTAAAAGAATCCTGAACAGGAATGCTAATGATGGCGGATGTGACACAACCTAAGAGTCAATCAACACCCAAAATAGAAAACATTCACGTGTAATGAACCTCTTTACTTTTGCACCTCAGATGATTAGAATATACTGATAATTTGTCCAACACAAAGAGAAAAATCCACAGTTTTGTTTAAGAAACTTACTCTCTGTCAATCTAAAAAATTACCTTGAGTTTTATGTGGACCAAAAACAACTTCTTGATGAGCTTTACTGGCAAAAGCAAGCAGTCAAAAAGATGTCAAAAAAATTACCATTAGATGTTCCCTTCTTGGTCTCTCAGCTGCTGCTAAATTGATCTTAGTTTCTTAGTAAACTAGTGCATTTAAGATTTCACTTTAAGCTCCTGTTGATGGCTCACTAGTAAGCCTCTTCTCTCAGCTACATGACCTTGTAATACCATACAATTCGGTATGTCGTTTACAATTCACAGGCTGAGGTGTTTTATCTGTCTCAGCGGTCTTTGAAGTCGAGGCTCCGGGGCTCTGAAACGGAGGAAACCAGCTGGTGGTGTCATTAACATCTCCTAAACCTCTATTTAAAATGGACTGTTGAAAATTTATGCAAGTATTTCCCTGACTATATTCATTTTTTTCCACTTTATTTCAGGTCATATCCTTCTTTAAATTGTCTTTTAGCTTACAACTGTTCATGTCATCAGTTTAATTTTATTTGAATACTCAGTTTGAAGGACCTTGTAACAGATTATTTGCTGTCCAGTGCTTAAATAAAGATGATTAGTTCCACAAGTGTCGGCAGGACCGAGCCGATGACGTGTGCTGATTAGGACGATATCCCAACCTTTCATATATACAGGACATATTTTAGAGCTCCCTCAGACCTCAGCTGCACTGGCTTCATTTAAAGCAGCTTCATATCTCAGGCACAAGGAAAATAAAGACCAGCGCCAGCTCAAAGACACTGACATGACAATATATTACAACACCTAACATTATTCTAAGAGTATCTAAGAGCGTCATTTACACTGTAGAAAATATGTCGAGCATCTCATACCTGCGGTGTCTGGCGTACTTCCCGCTGACATGACCGCTGCCATCACAGCCGGGGGTGGGACAGCTGAGAAGGAAACACACATGGTCAGAAAGAAACAAGCAGCACATCATCTGTCCTTCAGCAAGTCTGATTTTATTTTTCCTGTACCGCACGCAGACCATCTCAATCCAGCACGCAAAATATAATGATATCTGAGGTTCATCCAGGGCTGCACGTTCAGCCTATTTATATCTATCATTCATGCCCTGCTGCAGTTTTTTATAGCTTGTATAGCTTCTTAAGACTTTCGCTTACATGTGTTTTTCTGACTTTTTACATTCTCCAAGTATTTCTGTTCTCCTTGTGTACAAACTGTTGTGCATTTTTTAACAGTTAAGTATGCTTTTTTGCATCTATGACATGCATCGAGAGAAAATATCCTCATAAAGGTTACAATACAGTCAGATTAATGCAAGTTAAATAGATGCTTATAAGTATGTTATTACCTGTTACCACTACACTTACAAGGGTTTTAATCTGAAAGAGTAGCTTCTGTACACAAAGCAGTCTCTAATGGCCATGAAATTTGTTCAGTATAAAGGTACAGTGAGTTACTTTTTGAGGTTATTTAATAGAACAAATATTGTACACATAAATATACACTGAATAGTGTGTAAGTGCGTCTTCCAATAAACTGAAGCACTCTCATAAACTCAGAATTAATACATTAAAACATTAAAAACACATAGGTGTGGGCACCGCTTTGTGGAAGCTGCCATGTTGTTCCACCATCTTGAATACAGTGGACGAGTTAGACCGCATTTTGTGTATGTGGCTAAAGACACATATGCAGTATGGAAAACATGTAGGAGAGGAGAAATCGTAGGTGTTTTACCTGTGGTGGAGGCAAAATTTAAATTCTTGTCTGCACCCTCAGACCCAAGATATGAAGATAGCTAAGTTTTATCATTTGAGAATGGTTCCTCTACAACAAAGAAGTGAAAAAATAAAGGAAAGCAACAACCCGACCAGCGCTGGGAAAAAATGACATTAAATACAGAGAGAGAAAGATTTTAACCCTTTAAGACCTACCATAGAACCCAGAGCTCATCTTTAAATTTTGGGATAGGAAACCAGAATTCAGTTGAATGAAATCTGCAATATACTGACATCTAGTGGTGAGATTTCCAACACTCCACCTTTAAAATTATTCAGCTTTGTGTTGCCACCAGTTACTTTGTCCAAGTCAAGATGATCCTCTGGAAAAAAAAAATGCTGCATAATCCTGTTTATACCATCATCTCTGAACTCCACAGGAGGTGGCTTCTTCTAAAATTATTTGAGATTGTAAAGCAATATCCCATTTTTCACGTGTTGGGGCCTCTAGTTCTAAAAGGTAAATGCTGCAGGAGAGAGAGTAACTTTGAAAAAAGCAGCCCAACTGGGAAGAAATGTGAATTACCACAAAGTCACAACTTATACAGATTTAAAGTGAATAACGTGGACATTAGCACAGAGAAAGGGTAAAAATGGAAAACTACTCACAACCGTGTGAAGCTGGTGTAAACTCAGCATTAGTAACATCCCACATTTGTCCACATTTAGCTTGTTGTGATCTGGACTGTCTTATCTGTGATTTTTTTTTTTCACCATTGGACTCCATTGTAGTTCCTCTAAATTCAAGGCCACTGCTTTTCATTGGATTATTCTTACAGTCGGCACTCAGACAGACAACAGCGCTTCAACTCAGCCTCCTCATTCATTTCTAATCCACAGGGGCACCAATACAAAAGGCTTCAGCCAAAAATGCAAGGATAACAGTTTTTTTTTTTCCTTCAGCACATATGATGACCTTTTCCAGCAAAACTGTGCAGTGCTGGCCAATCAAATACAAGCAATTGTACATAAAAGCATAATTCACTTACTAGGCCCCAAAAAACTGACTGAAATACTGACGACAAACAAATGTTTACATTTTATTATCACCTTACATCCTGCTCATCAAAGAGGTTAAATTTTTTATATAGCACCAAATCACAATAATGGTTGCCTCAAGGCGTTTTATACTGTAAGATAAGGACCGTACAATAATACAGAGAAAACCCCAACAACCAGAGGACAGTAACAGGAAGAAACTGGCAGAGCCAGGCTCAGGGAGGAGAAGCCACCTGCCGCAACCAGTTGTGGTTGAGGCCAGAGATAATAATAACTGATAATTAAATGTAGATTGGTGTATAAACATATAGTGACTGAAAAAGAAACAGTGCATCATGGGAATCCCCCACAGCCTAGGCCTATTGCAGCATACTTGAACTAAGGGAGAATTCAGGGTCACCTGATCTAGCCCTAACTGCTTCATCAAAAAGTAAAGTTTTAAGCCCAATCTTAAAAGTAGAGATAGTGTCTGTCTCCCAAGAGAGGTTACAACAAAAGATTTGGAAACTGAAATTTCACTAGCAGATCAAAAATCAGTTTATGCTCATTGATTGCACGGATTAATAAATTTTAACTGGTTATCGCAAACAAGTGTAACTTCTACCCAATATCATAAAGACATATTTATGACCTAATAACAGTTGTACTGAGATGCTTCACAGAAAGATTCTGGAAAGATTTCAGCATGGCATATGAGAAAATTATCTCAAAGGAAATTCCACTAGAACCAAAGCTGTTTCTACAGAGCTGTTTCTACAGAGCTGTTTCTACCGAGTTTCTACCTCAGTTGTTTAAGAACCCAAAAGATAAAAGATAATCTTTTTGGGAAAGTAACTCATAGATCTAATCATGTGGAGTGGGCTTTTTGTTTTCTCAGTGTGGATTTTTTTGTCCTGAATAGATCGTTATTTGGTTTCGATATTTTTTCCATTGTAACAGCAGAAAATAAGGAAAACCATAATAGGTCTATTTTGAAATTTCATGCTTAGGGACCCACAGCACCTAATGGTCTGTTGTGATACAGAAAAACTTCACAGACTCAGACCTGTCTGCCGAAAAACGAGCTTATTTAGAAGGTCCCACCAGAAGGATCCATCCATCCTCTTAACAACTAACGCGGTTCACACCAACAAAATTTTGAATCACCAGTTAACTTAACACACGCGTCTTTGGAGTGTTGTAGAAAACCAGAGTAGCTGGTGAGAATCCACAGAGAAACATGCAAACTCCATGCAGCCAGCATGGTGGATTCAGACCCTGTTACTATGATGCAACAGTGCTAACCACTGGACCATTCCTCCCACTGAAAGAAAAGAAAGTGCCCTATCTAAATTAACAGTATCACTTTCAGTTTCATCTTCTTGTAACCACTGCCAGTATGACTGCTGTCTTTGTTTTATTGCTTCATGGATATCCCGTTCAGACCGCAGGCACGCGTGCACCTGCGATTTCAGTATGGACCTCATGTGCAGTGTGCAGAAAATTTTGCGAGACTTGGCTCCGTGCAACATTGTCCTCTTTGCCAAAATGAAATTCAAATTTAAGGGATCCAGCGGACATGACAGAAACGCGAGTGTTTGGGTCAGAGAGCAGCCTTTGACAGAGCGATGTAAAGTTGTTAGTCATGCTGGAAGCAAAGCAGCGCAGCAAGAGGAGATGATGTTTTTGTCCCAGGGATTTAGCTTGTTTGTCTTCTCATTACATGAAAAAACCCACACACAAGCATGCACTGTTTGCAGATTACTTTGCACGTGCATCTCTACTTGTTCCCTTTATGATTATCAGTCTTCCCTTGCAGCATCATAAAACCCTGGGAAGCACTGGCTGTTGGACAAAACCTTAAAAATCACATCTGTGATCCAATTTTGATTTCCTGGATTATGTTTTGCATCTTTCTTTTTTTTATCAGCATTTGTTCTGGTTCATTAAGACAGATGTGGAACATTTTCATCTGTCAACCGCAGCTTTAACAGTTCTTATCTCTTTATGTATTTATTAATTAATTTTTTTATTTCTGCATCACAGCTGTAGATTTCTCCCGAGCTCTGAGTCACGCTTTCAAACCTCTTTGCAGTGAAGACACGCAGACCGTTCAGCCAAATCACGCTGCCTGCCTTCAGGGACTCCACACCCAGCATGACCTCTGACCCCGCACTGCAGAGCTCCACCCACCCTTCCACCCACCCAACATCACCTGATCTATATGCTTTGCAACCTCGGGCTAAAATGAGAGCTGCTCGAAAATAGAGGTGAGGCTCACGAGCGCAGGGAGGCAGAGGAGGTGGAGAACAGAGGGGAGGAGGTTAAAGAGGAGGAAGAAGAGTAGGACTGCAGGTAGGTAAATGAGAGGAATTGGAACAAGGAGTGGAAGTAAAAGAGAGGGAAAATGAGAAGTAGGAAGACAAAAAGAGAGTGACGGAGAGGTGAAGAAGAAGGAAAAAACAGCCAAATGGAGGAGGAATGGCAGGAGAAAGAGGAGAGGAGGAGAAGGAGATGGTTTGTTCAAGGTGAGGCAGCTCATCAACCGGTGTGGGAGCTGAGACTGATAGCACTGCATTATTGATCCCACCACAGCTTTGTGTGTGTGTGTGTGTGTGTGTGTGTGTGTGTGTGTGTGTGTGTGTGTGTGTGTGTGTGTGTGTGTGTGTGTGTGTGTGGTTAGAGCCAAACATACACGGTAAAACTTTTTTTTTTACAATGCATCAGTGCGACCTTAACCTTAACGAGCCCGAGTTTGAAATTACAAAATGTTGTTTCTCTTGTGTGGTGAGATATTTCCACTTGTTTCCACAGCAGCTGAATATACCTTTGACTTCAGTATTATTCTCCCTGTCACAGTGTAATAATCAGTCTTACTGATGTCAGCACAGTGACATACAGTACTATTGAAATCAGTTTCAAGTCGCTCTCATCTGAAGAGCATTTTTAGATTCATTGTGAGATTGAATGGCTTGCTGTGTGCTAACCCTCCCTGAGTTAAAGTTTAGACACAGTCATGTGACGCAATACAATGGCTTTCTTTAAATCTGCACCCTCTGATCTTCTGTTTCTCTGATTATTGTTTGCAATTATTCAAATCCACTGATTGAAGTTGATTGAAAACGACTGATTACCAACAGCAGGGCTGCTTTAATAAAGAAAGAAGTATCCCATTCCCACTCCTATCATCTATCAGTATGTCTCAGATAGGCGGACACACAAACAGAAAAATGTTCACCCAATCTGTTTTTTTTCCACCAAACATCCAGTCATGCATTATAATATCAAATAAAGGGGACCCATTATACTAGCTCCATACTTTTCTTGGAGTATGCATGATTAATATTTCAAAACGATTCTTCTTTATCTTGTAGTTGTACTTTACGTATCCTGTCCGTTCAGTCAGCTCATCTCCTCAATCCAATTCATTCTTCTTCTGTTTGGCCAGCTCTTCTCAAGGGAGCTGCTCGTCCACAGAGCTCCCGGCACACAGTATTTGAGCTGATGTTAAAGGCAGAGGAGGTTCAGAGCTCTGCAGTTGTTCAGTCACCAGAGCATTCTGTGCAGGTTGGCACTCCCCAATCCTGCCACTTTGCAGCTGAGTTGCCACAGCACTTCCACTTGCTAATAACATCAAAATCAGTTGATCATGAAACATCGAGGTGGCGTCCTGTTAAGCACCGCGCTCGACTACAACGACACATTCTTTCACCAGTTGTTTAAGGCAGACTGTGGCTGGGTTCTTGATTTTATACCTGTGTGGCAATGCAGCTGAAAACACCGGAATAAGAGGTGTGACATTGCCTATTTAAACTTCAGTTAAGCTTCATCATTCTAAGATTAGAATAGGAGCGTGATCTGAGTTAATGCAGAAAAAGCTAACAAAGCTAATAAATTTGCATAAGAAACTGATCTGACACATCAGGTCAGGGTCATGTGACTTGATGCACCCTTTGTCCTCTTCCCCAAAGGAAATCCAAATCACATCGTGGGAGCACATGTTCTTGGCTCAGAAATGGACTGCAAAAGGAGTCAACCTTGAAGGGGATAACAGCTAGATTACAATCAGGTATGATTTTTGCTTTCTTCCTTTTGTTTTCTGCAGCCAGAAACATATCAGGCACACCGGGATTTAGACGAGAGTTTGTCCCCACAGTGTGCTCATCAAATGTTGACATTTCCTGGGTACAAGCTGAAATTGCAGCCCAATGGTTACACCAGAAGAGAGTTCAAGGGGGCCACCAAAACACCATCCGCAGGGAACTGTAAATGTCCACCATTAGCTGTACTCATTAGTCATCCCAGAAATTACTGCAGCTAAAGTTAAAATTCATCGCTGTGGTGCAGCATTAGCTGCAGCTCTGATTCCCACTGAGCTGACAGATGTGATGTATTTATTTAGCAATTTAAATTAAGTCATGGTAGAATTTTCATTTCACTCCCCCCCCCCCAAATCTGCCGCATCACACCGCAATGACAAATTTATTTGTACATGTTTATCCCCGAAGATTAGTCAGATTAGTCAACGACTGTGATGAAAAAATAAAACTGACGAACACATTTAAGCGATTGGTCATGATGTTCTTATAATATTTTGCAGTATTTACTCTGTGAATCATTTCCACGATTTACTGCTGACTTTGCCCTGTCCGTGTCTGGCCCTCACCAGCACCCATCAGATTTAAATTCAGGGTGAATCACGCCGAGTTTTCTGCTCCTTCGCTCCGGGCTCACGCGGCACAGGCAGGACATGTTGTTTACAGTAAAGCGCTGACCTGGATCAAACTGGGTTCGACCATAATCTGCTGCACACACCAATATTTGTCAGTTTTACTAAATGAGATTAAGTGAAGCAGAAACCTGCCCTTCTCGCACACACGCACATTTACACACACGCACACACACACACACACACACACACACACAGGTAGCAGTGGTATTCAGCAGTCACTGTCAGGAGCTGCTGCTGATTCTCTCTAGTCAGTCATCAAAATTTAATGAATTACTGGCTGCATTTAATTTAAATTAGCTGTTCGTGTAATACACAGCGTTGGACAAATTAACACGCGACCGACGGTATTTATTTATCGCCTTCGAGCTCAGCTCAGGCTCAAAAATCTGATGTGCTGCATCAGGCCGATTCCTGTATTTCACAGGCTGGACCCCAGCAGCAGACGTGGTGGGCCTGAGAATAAGAACTGCAAGATGATGGATAGAAATGACATATAACTGATTATACAGGAAAAGTCTCTCAGTAATATTTTCTTTGATGAATGCTAGCTGCTGCCTCAATACAAAGCCAAAATGCAATAAAAAAAGAAGAAAAAAAGAGCAGTACAGTGATGGATGCACGAGATCAGCACAGGTTTACCTACCTGAATAACTCCTGTGTTACTGCTTCCACGGCGGCTGCAGACAGGGACACAACAGCAAAGATTAATGTTAATGCTTTCAACAGTCACGAGCTAACAATAATAAACACATCCACTGTAATTGTGCTTCAGATGATCCCACTGTAGTTAGCATGAAGTGGAGGCAGAAATACAACCTGTAAAATATGTTAAAATTTCCCCATTTACTAACTGGACATCACTAGAAAGGTATCTTCTAATTTTACTGTTGTAGACAAACTTACTTTCCTTTTTATAATACAACAGGTCACCGAGGATTATAAGAGAAATAATAGCCCACACTAAAAATGATATATAAACCTAATCCTGCGTGCAGGTTAACAGGTTGGGTCCTGCTTTCAGGCATCATTGTGCTTTTCTACCTTAACTGAGCCCTTAGAGATCTTTCTAAGGTACAAGCCACATTGACCCGCTTACACACACACACATTCATTCATACATCTCTTTATTATATGTCCTTTATCATGCACACAATCACACTGCAATGGATGCATCACAGGCAATTTGGAGTTCAATATCTTGCACAGGGACACTTTGACATGGAGACTTTTCACAAGGAAAAGATGTTGAAAGATTTGTTACATTCAAATTTGTGTGAATAAAAGTTTTGGGACAGGAGCAGCTAACATATTAGATGTCTAAATTGGCTTTTTCCTAATACACGGTGATTCATTCAGCGGTCTTGAGCCACTCTGGCAAAAAAAAAAAACATTTGTAAAACCTGACAGGCAGATGGACAGACACATACCTCTGACTCCTTTGGATCGCGTTCGATGGCGTTTTTCAACTGCATTCACCTCCATCTGCAGAGGGAAAACGAGTTAGCTTCCTGAAACTGCAGTGGCAGAAGTAGTTGTGTTCATCTTTCCGTGAGGCACTGTGCCACCTCTGCTTTAAGCTGTCCTTGGAGACATGAGGACTTTAATTCCCATTTGCATCATTCACATCAGCATCAAAGTCATTAATTACAAGCGGGAAAGCCAAGTTTCCAAAAGCTCCGACAGATGCTGTTTAGACTAAATAGTGCAAACAAAAAGCTAATGTGGATATGTCAAAGTAACATTTAATTTATATAGACAGTTCTGCAGTAAAACAGCTGAATGCGTGATTTATAGTTCTGCATTAAACCCACCATAAAGGCTACGGCGTCACTCTATACCCCAGCCTAAACTGTAGCCTGGCCTGCACCCCAAGAATCCTAATAGGTCTGTCTGTGCAAACACATTAAGGTATATTAACTACCACAAAGACCAAACCTCCTGAAAGAAAATGTAATAGTGCAGCGGAGTGAGCATCTGCTGAACATTTAGACTCAATCAGCCCTGATTTCTTCTCCCCTTCCTGTGTTTCAGCTGTTGTTCAGCTTAGTTTTTCTTGTGATTGCAGAAGAACCCAAACACACCAGTGCACAAGTTTGCAAATAATGATATCACCAACTACAGCAAGTATTTAATGCATTACTCTATCTTAAGATTTCGGTTTAGGTTCTTTGTTCTCATGTGGCTGATATAAAACCACTTAAACCACCACTTGGAAACCACTCTGAACAACTCTTTATATGGACTACTGAAGCCATTACAACCATACACACCCTGTAGACACACTAATCAGTCAGTCTTTAACCTGCTAGCTCTGGAGCTCCCTGTTTCCTGCTGAATACTAGGTGAGAGAAAGCCCATCCGATCTGACTCTCTTGAAATTATCTGGATTTTGTGCACAAAAAGAGTTTAATTGCAGAGATTATCACCAGATTGCTGCTGGAATTAGAATTTTTGAGGTTTTAGTCCCAGGATCAGAACAAATCAACTATAAAAAAGCAATCACCGCCATACTTTGAGCCAAAAAGAATAGAAACACCAGTCAGTTGTGACGATACCTGGCTGTAGCTCAGTGTGGCACCTCTGTATCTGCTGTTGGTCCTGTAGCTTTAGACTTCAAATTCAAATCTCAGACACCATCTTCCAGAGTCATGATCTGCAAAAAAACAAAAAACACTTTCTCAGTTCTACTGCCAGACATTTGTTGTCTGCAGCTGTTTGCTCTGAAGTAGTTTCCTTTAGCGAGACACTATGTGTGGAAAGGTGGCGAACTTCATTGTCTCTGTGAAATGTATAATTATGAAGCCTAATGACATTTCACGACTCGAGAGACTGGTACCAAATACCGTCTAAACATTTCACTGATATTTTCAAATGTGAGATTTAATTCATCCAGTCAATTAGGTGTTTCTCAAGAGAGGTCCTTGAAAGTCACTGCTAAACACATTTCAGAAACCCGTAGCATGACCTGCAAATTATGGATAATAAGGCCATCTACACAGAAATCTTACCCCTGGAAGGATAACGTGCTTCAAAGACATACCTGTCTGAATTATCAGCATAAAAGAAGAGCATCTCCCTGCACGTTTGATGAAAAAAGGTGCAAGTCTATGTAAAGGCATAAAAAACTATGACTCCTAAGGAGCATCTGAGCACAAGCAGCATTTTAGTCAGCAAGTAACAAAAACCCAAAACTCCCCCACGCCTCGACATCGGTCACCTTTAAAAGAGGGTCAGAGCCTCCCCGTTTTTAACGCAGAAGAAAAGCACTTTGAAACTGCGCACGAAAGGTCTTCTCCTAATGACTTTGCACATGTCGGCGTCGGTGTCTGCAGGCAGACATTTGTGTTCCTGAAACAGTCGTGGTATTTATGTGTTTTCGAGGCTTGAATTCCTTCCCATCAACACATTTCTCATCAGGCCGCGTCGACATCTGTTGAGTTTTGCACATGTAGACGAAGCTGAGATTTTGCAGGGCTCAAAACTCGACGTTTCAGAGGCAAGAGGCAAGAATAATTAGATCGATCACACCAGAGATCACGTTTCAAGTCCTACACTGAACCACAGATTTATTTTTTTATTTTTACACTTTCACAGTAAATATATTCTGTTAGGGTTTGAAAGTAAAACCAAATTTGGTCACTGTTTTGATTTGTTATTCCTTCTCATGTTTCTGATGTTTATATACTTTGTCTCCCTCGGTTTTGGTACTTTTGCTTGCCTCCCTTGTTTCCACTTCCTGTTTCACACCGAAAAAAATATTCTTGAAGCAAAAACAATTTTAGTAAAATGTAACCGAAATATATATA